GAATGTTACAGTATAACTAACTTTAGTGTTTTCACTTTTGATGAACTGTGTCATTCATAATGAATCAGTATTTTTCCACTTCATAACCGCGCTACACAGTAGTCCATGGTAAAAGATATCATACTTTCACGTATTCTTCTTATTGTCCGGCTCGAGGAAAAATTAAACTAAAACAAAGCTAATCTGTTTGGTACATATGCCCGAATTAGACACATACCAAAACTTTAAAATGTTTTTTTTTTTCGTTATTTCTCTTTCAAAACTTTAAAATGTTTTTTTTTTTTTGCTATTTCTAACAGGGTTACCAGAAGTTGTTAACTGTTGTTTGTACACAGACTAAAGTTAACAATAACATTATTCAAAAAAAAGGTTTAGCCCTGGCAAAAGCGATGCTAGGCATATTGGTCGTTAATGCATCATTAAAATTACATGATATGGATCTATATCTTTTTTTAGAGTAACGTTTATTAATTTATTGTTCATTCTTTTTTTTGGTTCAAAAGATAAACAACCAGTCCAAATATATAATTAGTTTCTGTTTTTCTAACTACCAATAATTAAAAATATATCAAGTAAGTCATTCTTTGCGAAAACTTAAATACAAACTCTTTATCGCTTTCTGTATGTCTACCATCCATTCTATATTTATCGACATCTGAAAACGTATAACTTTATGGCGTATGTAGGCAATAGAATCAAGAGCTCACGCGATTTTGGAAAAAAATCTTTTGATATAGTCTTCTTATTCAGCATTTTTTGGATACTCAAAAAAAGTTGTAATCTTTTTCAAGACACAGACTGCTACATTAATTCTATGTTGTATAGCTTGATATGAAAAGGTAAGGTAAATACATAGAAGGTATAAGGTTGATGTGAATAGGTAGGGTACATACACTGATACACTGTTGGTAAAAGGTTGATGAGAATAGGTAAGGTGCATATACAGTAGTTATAGGGTTGATGTGAGAAAACCCCTTTAATTACGATCAAAACAATTTGAAACAAGCAAGTCCACAAGTCTTGATCTCATCTTTTCTGATGCAATCTATTGCTGCTTCTGCAGTCAGGTCTTTTGACTTGTAGGTTTTTTAAAGCTATTTTTTGCTTCTTAGCCCACTTATATGGCTGTAGCTTTTTTTTGTAGCTTTTTCATTTGCTCTGCCAAGCTGGATTATTCTCTTGGTCAATATGCTCTCAGTTCTAAATTTATAATTTCTAAAAGCTGTTATTGCTTGCAATCTGACGACTTAAATGAATACTTTTATTAGCTAATTCCATCACAATATTCTTGTAGGAGGTTCTTAGCTCCATCTTTCAATCAATCCTTTGTGTAGTGACTCATATTTTGACCGCACTTTAGTCCTCAACAGTTTAGCATTTAAAGACCAAGTTTTTTCTTCATCAACTTATAGCTTTTACAAACAAATTCAGTTTATGGCAATTTTTTTGCTACAGTACAGTGTTTTCAAAGTAAAACTATTATCAGTCTTTTACTCGAGTTCATTTTACCGATGTTTGATTTTTCACTAATAATAACAATCAATTCAGAAGATTTTCAGAAAAAAATTGTTTTTCTTTGTTTAAAAATGACATTAGATCAGATTGGATTCCACTGAGTTAAAAACTAATTGAAAAGTCTGAACCCAGTTGCAATTGTCTTTTCATCTAGCTATGCCCTGTTTAGAGTTAATCAATTTAAAAACTATTTGCAATCATAAAATTGATGGACAGGTCTTATATAACTGATCCACAGGTTTTTATATGCATTTTACATAATGAAAGTAAAATGTATTTCCAAATGAAACTTTATTATAACCCTTTATTATATTCTTTCTTTGTAATATAGTGTGGGTTTATATTACACACTGTGGGTTTTACAAAAAGTATAAATACAATAGTTGAACATTTCAATTAAGTTGCCAATTTATTTTTCGGCTTTAATTTCGATAACAAAAAATATATACAGTCTTCTTAATAACAAACGCTACCCCCTCACCACTATAGAAAAAAACTCTTGACAGAAGTTTTTAAAGACAAAAATGAATAATGTTGATTGGTTTTTAGTCTACAAGTATTGTATATACTATAAATTTAGTTAATAAAGAGTTGAAGATTGAATTAAATAAACCCATATATGTATATATATGGGATATATATATATATATATATATATATATGGATATATATATATATATATATATATATATATATATATATATATATATATATATATATATATATATATATATATATATATATATATATATATATATATATATATATATATATATATATATATATATATATATATATAATATATATATATATATATGCAACGATACAAAAACACAAGAAAGTAAGATTTTTTACAAAAATTATGTCAGAAAGTTTGAAACACAAAAAAAGAATTTAAAAAAACTGTACTACTCCGATCTACTTGAAATGAACAAACATAATTCTAAACGCATCTGGAAAATTCTAAGAGAAGTTACTGGCATGC